GTCGCTTTTAAAAAGTAAGATGGAGAAATAATATGTCATCTTCTATTTCTTCTTATTATTTCTTCAATGGAGTTTAAAATATGTCTAATTTTATTAATTATTACTAGCAGGTGGAGGAGCAAAAACCAGCGTCAGTTGCAGCAGCTACAGACAAACTGACTTCCTTGACACTGACGCAGCCGACGCCGGCCGCCGCGCCCGCTCCCGCCAAGCCCAAGAAATTGTCTATTGGTATTTATATTTTCATTTATTCATAATAGTTAAATATCGTTAGCTAATAGCTATTACATTTCAATTTTTCAGGTGGCCATGTGGGTAGTTTTAAAGAACAGTTCGAGAGACGTGCGTCGTTAACATCGGCTCCCGAGATAAAACGCAATGTATCTAAACCAGGTAAATTGAAATTAATAATTACGTTAGACAAAAATAAAAAAAATGACATTTAATGCTACTTATTATTATTGCAGTTGTTTCTAAGATTGCCAAAGTCAAAGCTCAAAGTGAGGACAGGGATCTGCCGGCCAAGTCTCCGGACAATGGCACCGTGCGGTTGCAGCAAATCGGAATCGAACCATCTCAGGTAACTTAGATTTGTTAATATCGTTGCCGCTAATCTAAATAACACACTATATTTGATCGATTCACTTCTTTCGAGGAGTGAGCATATTGTTTAAATTTGTATTTTATGCTTAATCCATAAAGCCTCCAGCGGAAGAGATTCGAGAGGTGAGTCGTAGCGGTGTGAAGAAGACGGAGAGCGAGCCCATGCACAACACCACGCAGGTCGACCCCACCGTGCTGCTGCAGGACGCCAGGAGGTTAGTTAATGCCTGGTTACGCCCATCAGCAGCTTTTTCTCACAGCAATCACCCGTTGTCGACGAGTGAACGATGCGAATATGAAAGAGAGAGAGATATATATTTGTAACCCAGAAAAATATACTGTAAGTTAATACTACTTTTCTAAAGTTTCTTACGTTTTGCAGAAGTCTTCAGAACTCGATGGCGAAGCTTGTTGAGGAGAAAGCGGGTGAGGAAAGCCGCAGACGCGCCGCTCGCGATATTATCTCATCCGCCATTCGCACTGGTATGAAAATAATGCTTACACAATACAAATACTACCTTCTCCATATCATGTCACATCTAGATATCATTTCATGCATTATAACTTTCGTAATTTAGAAGATTAAAGAAACCTAACCCTTCTAAAATTTACAATTTAAATTTAGAATTATTTTAGCTCAATAAAGAAGAACCCTGTAGCAATAAATAAAATAGATATCGTAGCAATTGCATTAATACACAATTTTTATCAATTTGTAGTTAATCTTTCAAGTTTCATTTCCATCCATCGGAAAGCTTTTGCAGCTTCATAATAAGAGTAGCGCTTTGCATAATAATGTCACTTTAACTGCAATGCAATGCGTTAGGGCTTAAACCATTAACGAGGGTTGTCTCCAGGCAAGCCTCCGATGCCGTACGGGCGCTCATCGTCGGCCGGCGTGACGTCACTGTCCTCCCCGCCAGGCACGCCTCCCGCCGCCCCGCCCACCGCGCCCGCCGCGCCCACCGGGCCACGCC